CACTGTGTACCTTGTACTGTCTTTCTGTTTAAAAAATTGACAACTATTTAAAAAATATTTTAAAATGAACTCTTAAAAAACTCTTTAAAATGAACTTTTCTTATTTAAAGAAGAAAGTTAGGTTAGAAAAGAAGATTAAAGAACTTTTTTGATACTAAAAATATTTTTTCTTTTTTAAAATGAACTTTTTTAGGCTCAAACAAAAAAACTTTTAAAATGAACTTTTCTTAGGCTAAAATGAATCTTCAGTAGAAAGCATACAAAAAAATAATATTCAAAGTTTTAATTATAATATTTAAATATTCTCTCAAAACCAAGAAAATTACACACCATACAGTGATATGATACAACCATACAGAGTATGATTATTAAAAATATAATTAAAAAAATATGGATTGGAATAACAAAAACAAATTCAAAATATCAAAACTGCTTTTTTTAAATAGCACTTGATATATTTAACTAAAATTTGATACTAAAAAGACCATCTATTGTAAAATAATTATCAAAGGGTGGAGATTTTACAATATGCTAGTTATAAAATACTGCTTAGCCAGGGCCGTCCCGAAGAGGTCTTATTTGGGGGAGGGGGTATGTATTTTTTTGCCAACTAAAGACACAAAAAATAAAATAAAAAAAAATTCTCAATATTTGCAATTTGCCAACTATAGTTTAAAACTTGCTCAATGTTGCAATTCAAATGCTTTTATGATAACTTTGAGGGGGTTGGACACCCTTAACACCCCCTCCCTTCCTTCGGGACGATCTTGCTCTTAGCACATGTCTGTTATAAAGTTGATGTTGTTAATTGTTTTATTTAATTTAATTGAATTCACATGCAAGCTAAAAAATGTTATATAAGTTCAGCCTATATCATTTATTATAAAACTAAATGAAAACTTATAAAACCTAAAATTATTTTAAAAGTTTCCATTTAGTTTAATAAATGATATATATATATATATATATATATATATATATATATATATATATATATATATATATATATACAGGGTGTCCCAAAATTAATGCAAGATTTGAATTTACCGCCATTTATGCAGTACAGTGTTGACAACACTAAAAATAAAATAAATCGACAGTTGACAGTTTAGGGCTAGTAAAAATGGAGCGTTTTTGACCGATGAGACCAGATTTTAGGGTGTTCGGAAGGGAGTTCCAAGAAAGGATACACTGGTATGTAATGGAATTAATTCCATGTTTACTTGTATGTTTTAGTGGAAAAGTTAAGTTGTTATAGGTGACTGATTTTAGGTTATGCCCACATGTTGTTCTGTTATTAAAGTAGTTGTGAAATATAGTAGGAAGGACACCATGTTGTTGATCCCAGACAAATGAACAATTTAAGAACTGAATTAAGTCATAGAAACGAAGAACTTTGGATGGAAGATATAGGATGTTAGTAGGAAAATTTCTCGGACAAAAATAAATAATCCGTACCGCTCTATTTTGAAGTGAAACAACTCTAGAGAGACATACGGTTTTAGATTGTCCCCAAACTTGGCATGCGTATCGTAAATGTGAACCAAAAATTGAGTGATATATAGAGAGCAATGTTTCAAAGTTAACGTAATGTCGAATTTTTGCTAACATGTGCCATTGGAACGGCTTAACTTCAGAGTAAGGTCGGATATGTGTGCTTTGAATGAAAGTTTTTCATCTAAAACAACACCAAGATAAGTTATGTTACTAGACAAGTACATTTTTTGACCACTTAATCGAAAGTTCAAGTATTTTGGAATATTTTTCTTAGTCTTTTTAGAAAAGTTAGTATTTTGAATCTTAAATATAATTATTTCTGATTTTTTAGTGTTCAATGAGATTTTATTTACTCTAAGCCATTGAACAAGACTGGCCATATCCTGATTAATATATTTATTAAGTTTTTTGAGAGAGTTTGTTATTAATTGAAGAAAGTCCGAAGTGATGGTTGCTTGGTATACAATGTTGTAGGTCAAGCAGTTATTGTGTAAAGGACAATTGTTTTTATTAAGGCAGTTGCAGTTATCTTTATTAATGGTTAGATTTTTGTTTAGGATGTGTTTGTTGTGTAAATTTATTATTGATTTTATGTTTGTGTTTTTGTTGAAAATTTTGTGTAGTCTGTTGTTAATTGGAAAATGTTTGACAATCAAGTTTAAAACGCTTTTTCCTATATTTGTGGTGACATAGGAATATATATATATAAATATAGGAAAAAGCTTTTTAAACTTGATTGTCAAACATTTTCCAATTAACAACAGACTACACAAAATTTTCAACAAAAACACGGTAAAAATTAGCTACAGTTGCATGCCAAACATAAAATCAATAATAAATTTACAAAACAAACACATCCTAAACAATAATCTAACCATTAATAAAGATAACTGCAACTGCCTTAATAAAAACAATTGTCCTTTACACAATAACTGCTTGACCTACAACATTGTATACCAAGCAACCATCACTTCGGATAACCCTTCAATAAAAAAATCATACATTGGTATTTGTGAAACATCTTTCAAACTAAGATATGCTAGGCATTTGAAATCGTTTAACATCCCTAAGTATAGAAACGACACAGAGTTGTCAAAGGAGGTTTGGAACTTAAAAGATAATGATAAAAATCCTGTGATCAATTGGAAAATAATTAGAAGTATATATATATATATATATATATATATATATATATATATATATATATATATATATATATATATATATATATATATATTTATATATATATATATATATATTATATATTGACAATAAAATGCAGAAGATTTTTGTTAATGCGTGTTAAAATGAATTGGAACAGGGCCACAGAGAGCCGTCACGCCGCCTGGGATAGCAACCCTGATTGGCGTCTTTATTTTTCAAATTTTATCTATATTATAGTCTTCTTTTCATTTGGCACCCCTTGGATATCTGCCGCGCAGGGTAAACTGTCACTCGCAACCCCCTCCCTCTCGGTAGCACTGAATAGGAAGTCTCTATTAATTAGCGAGGTAGTATCAGAGTGGACCCCTTTTTTTGAGAATTAAACAAATTCAAACCTTATTTTTTTAAATGCTATTTGTTTTTTAATACAAATTGCTAGTTTTGTAATTAAAAATAACCTAATTTTAATCGCAAAACTTTCACATTCAATTTTATTGCTGTCTTAGAATTATTGTACTTTTATGAATTAAGTCTTTTAAAATGGTATATTAATATAGAATAAGTTATTCTATATTAAAATATGCCATTTTAAAAGACTTACGGACGATAAAAACTATATAAATGCAATCTTTATATTAATCTTCCATTATATTACTTGTCTCTAATATTATCTTCTAACCATTATTTACTTGTATCTAACTAATCACTTGGATCAGTTATCAATTTCACTGTCATCGACCAATCATTTTTTGGAAAAGAGCAAAAACTATAAACATATACTTATGGAACTCATAAGTTAGAAAATTGGTCATGACACAATGATTTATCAACATAAAAAGAGGATTTTACATTTACAAATAAAATTGAGTCTTCAACTTGATCCCAAATAAGGATAATGTCAAGTTTTATCTCTTGATATTAGGACTAATAACAGGTCAAAGGTAACGCAACTTGTTAAATCTTGTCTTATTTATTATTGTAAGATGCATTAGATAAATAAGATTAACATAAGGTAATTTGTTTATCTTTGTGAGAAACGGAAATGTATGATCCAGCTGGGCAAATATTTCCAAATGTTGGCTTCAATACAATTTCTCTCTTTCTTAAACTAGAAAATATTTTTTTTGGACAACAATATTAAAAATTTAGCAGTTCTTTTACTTTTTAAACTGTAAATTCAAAGTATTTCTTGTCTAGTGGCAACCAAAATACACTATAACCTTAATGTAATTTAACGGTCGCGACTTTTGTTTTCGCAAGTTTGGACGCACGCGCATTTTTCAATATTGTGTAAGAGAAGAGAACACGTGTTGTTTGGACATTTTCAATATGTTGGTAGAATGACTAAAAATAATTTACATTTAATTTTTACATTATATATATATATATATACATATATATATATATATATATATATATATATATATATATATATATATATATATATATATATATATATATATATATATATAGATGTGAATACGGCTCCAGGACAAATTAAGATAATTTTGGACGTTTCAGGACAGATTTTTAAAAATCAGAAATTTAAGGACTTGTGGGAGGCCTCTACTTTTACTTGCTGATATCAAACAACATAGATCATCCAGGTCTTATGTTAAAAATCCGGAAAACTGTTTAGGTAAAATATCCAAAAAAAATCTGCAATATTTTTTCTATTTTCCTCTTAATTTTGCTTTTAGCTGAGTTGCTTCAAAATTTTTTTCCAAACTTTTTATAATTTTTGTATAAGTGATGAGCGAAAAAGCATAAAAAACAAATATATTACAAAAATATACACCTAAACTTGAATGTATGGAAAATATTTTGGATATCCATAAAAACAAAAAGTTGAGAAAAATATTAGGAATTTCGGAAATATCCGGAAAAAGATAATCCCTGAACAAATAACCATACTTTCTTCGCAAGAAATAAATATTTGGACTCAAACATCACTCGTACCGGTGACCAATTATTGAACCATTTTATGTACTCGCATGATTTATTTGGATTGTCTTGTAAAAATAGTTAAAAGACAATTTTGAAAGCAAAGAAATCTTAAAATGTATTTCAAATTAAAAACTTGATAAAAAACAAAAAAAATTAAAAAAATTTATTTATAAAAATAAAATTTGCAACATATAATAACATATAACATATATAACTATAATACAATTTATTAATTACACCTAACTTCATAATATTTTTAGGTTGGAAAATATCACGTCATTTTTGAGCGAAGTGATTAACAATTTCTGCCATTAAAAAAATTTTCAGAATTTTCGTAATAAAAACTTTTTAATTTAGTAATTTAAATAAAGATTGATAAATCTATAACAATTAATAAAAAAACTTTCGAAATAAATTAATTAACTCTAATATAAAAAGAAAATATAAAAAAACATTTTTATAACTACATAAGATTTTAAATTAAAAAAGTTTTCATGGATGAAAAAAAACCGCGCAATCCTCCATAAAAGCAGTTTTTGTTTTAACGGAAACATGATTAAAGATATAATATAAACAACTTGATAATAATTATTTTAAGTTAGCAATTAAACTTGGATTATGCCACAGGGCACCATTTCTAAATCTTCGGCCAAGTTCTGACCAAAGCATACTTCTTTCTTTTATGACGCCTTTCATTAGACTACGATTTTCCATTGCACGACGAGACAAGTACGGCATCACATCCTCGACTGGTCCATAAGGTACGTATTTATAGGCAGCATAACCCGCACTACCTAATGCGTAGGTAATAACGTCGCACATTCCTAAAAGTTGTCCGAAAAAAACAGTTTTATCATCTGGTTTTATGCCAAATTTTTTCATTGTATTGATGGCATGAAGTACAGAAGCTTCGTTATGAGTAGCAACCATAATGTTTGCTTTTCTATCTCGAACTTCCTCTAGCAACAACGACAAAACATTGTTATAACTTTCGTTAGTAGCTTCATAAGACACATGAATAGGATCGCTATAACCAACACTATGTGCTCTAAACCTTTCTTGTTCCATATATGCTCCTCTGACAACTTTTGCAGCAAAATAGAATCCTTCACGACGTGAAAGTTCCATATCAAGACAAAGAGTAGGAATGGTATCCTAAAAATAATAGGAAACTATTTAATAAAAACAACAAAAGACTAATTAAACTAACAGAAAACCAATAAAAACAACAATAAAAACAACAGAAAATTAAATAGTAATAAAAAAAAAAGCTTGAGGTGGGTGGGAAAAATTTCCAAAAATTAATAAATTTCCCCTTTCGTGTATTAAGCATCTAAGAATGCAATATTTAAAAGCTAAAAAAAAATGTTTCAAAATAAGTCACACCTTCAAATAACACTGATAAGTGTTAAAAATTATTGCAGAATCTTTGTTGAAATTGCGCATGGCTTCAAGTGTCATATGAGAAATTGCAGGTTGAAAGTACGTTTGTTCAGCATCAACCATTAGTCGAACATTTTTTTCTTTTGCTCTCTAAAAAAAATACTAATTTGTTAATGAACTAATAGTTTATCTAAAAAGAAATTCTTAAACAAATCTATTACCTCAACTATGCAGTGAAGGCGATCTTGCATTTTCTCCATTTCTTTAACCTCAGGACTACTCAAATAAATAAAACCATCATTACCACTTTTACCCTGAAATATAGTTTACAAGATACCATTATGCAAACTAACAAACTATGCAAACTCAATAAGTATATATATATATATATATATATATATATATATATATATATATATATATATATATATATATATATATATATATATATTATATATTATATATTATATATTATATATTATATATTATATATTATATATTATATATATATATATATATATATATATATATATATATATATATATATATATATATATATATATAATATATATATAAATATATATATATATATATATATATATATATATATATATATATATATATATATATATATAAATATATATATATATATATATATATATATATATATATATATATATATATATATATATATATATATATATATATATATATATACTAAAAAAATATATACTAAAAAAGCCATGGTCTCAAAATAAAATAGCTCAACTGAGGGTTTGGATTTGTCCAGGTACAATTAAAGCCTTTAAATTGCACAAAAATAAAAATAAACTGTTACAGTCGACATTTTTAAGTGTTTAACACACTTATAGTGTGTTAAACAATATTAGAACACTACACATTTAAATTTGCTAAAGTTATCAAGTTAATTAAAGTACATTTAAAAGAACTTCAAAAAAAAGCTTTTTTTAACCTCTGCTGTAGGTTTGGCACGAAAGATCTTTGATAACTGGAGTTGAGGAGTTAAAAAATTCTTCCATTCAATAATGTCAATTCCACTATAAAAACAACGAGAGTATTTTATGACATAAAAGCATCAAAAAATGTCCCTGTCATCCAAGAATGTTTTTCATAGATAATTATTCGTTTTTAAGATTTCAAAGAGTTCAGTTGTTATCCTAAGAAGCTGTTCTCATGTTTATAAACGTTGTCATGTACATTAAAAACTGTGTTGATAAAATTTCTTTATTAAAAATTTAAAAGATGTTAATATATTTATTATTTAGAAGATTTTTTTTTACTGCTAAAACAAAATTTACCCATTGTTATTTGTGTCAATAATTTTAAAAATTTTTTTTGCTTCTTCTGGGGTCATTGAAACCTGAAATGAAATATTAACTATAATCTTTAATAATTTAATGTTCAAAGATTTAAAAAATCTAACCATGTACCCCAAGTTTGTGAAGCCCTTGAAGGAAATATTGTTCAGCAATTGCTTTTTCTGAGAGAATATTTTGATTTTCTGCAGCAATCACATCAAAGTAATATTTTGTTTGGTTTAAAATTTGTGACAAGCGAAGCTGAAAAAATGTAAACAATGTTAGTTTATGTAGTTGAATAAAATAAATCTATAAATAATATAATTATTATCTATGAACAAGGTTTATAATAGATACAAATATTCTGGTATATAAACACTCACCAATGGCAAAGCTAAATACCATGGCAACACCAATGGCTTAACTAAATGAACTTATCAGGGTTCCTACAGGCTTATTGATAAAAAAAAAGAAAAGAATTCATATTAAAAAAAACATGATTATGGAGGCCTAAAAAACAGGATTTTTTTCGGAAAAACAGTTTTTTTTTTACGGCAACATTTAAAAAATATATTTCTAAAAATTATAAATGAACACATAAAAATGTTTTATAAACAATAAAAAATATATTTTTAAACATTATATTTACATTTTATAAATATGATTATAATTTTAATCATATATATAAAAAAAAAAACGCTAGTAAAAATACTATTAAAAAGAATATAAATTTCCTATAAATATATAAAAAATAAAACAAATTTTGTGCATGACTAATAGTATCAACTTCCAAAAACTTTTAATGTAAACAAAAAAGAAATTAAATATAAAACATTAATTCGTTGTGATTAACTTTTAATTCTGAACATTCTTTTATTATTTATCTTTAGCTAAACATTCTTTTCTTCTTCTATATCCAACTCTGTACTTATTTTTCTTTAAAATATCTGTTCCAATTCTTTTGTCCTAATTGTTGGCCATCTATAAATGCAACCAACGACATTTTTTTCACACAAATTTTTAATAGTTTGTTTTCCTCTTCCACAAGTTTTTAGGCAGAATCTATAGTGATTTTTAGTTGTTTACTGGAATAAAAAATTCTTCAATTCTTTTTGCATAAAATTAAAAAAAAACTGTGCAAATCAATTGCTAATTGAATTTTCTCTAACAACTTTTAAAAATAGTCAAGTAGGTCTTCCTCCAAACAAATATGTCCCCAAGTACAATGTATGATTTGCCGAAAATGATTCGAATGGTGGCATAAGCGCCATTGTGTTTTTTTTTTCTTCTGTGATGTAGTTGTTTCATCAAATTGGAATGTAAAAGGTAAAAAATTCAACTCATTCAAATTAATTTTTGAATACAAGGGAGGCTATTTCAAAGGGAGGCTATTTCAAAGGGAGGCTATTTCAAACTGAATCATATACTTAAGCTTATCCAATTTTTGCTGATATGTTTTAGCAAATTCACAATCCGGAAACATTCATTTTTTTTTTTTTTGCATTGTCACCATCAGCTGCATCAAACAGAACTCGAAATAGCTGCCAGACATTGTCTGGCATTTGTCTGGTAATAAGCGACATCTATCAGTCATTTTGTCCGACCCCTGCATTCATTTTATAATCATTTTAGTTGTTCCAAAATTATTAATAAATACAGTAGTGTATATAAACTTCATTTTTTTAACTTTTATTTTCTATACAAAACAGAAAATGAAGTTGAACACACAGCTGCATCAATAAAATAAGTCATTTATTGAGCTAATTCATTTTTTAAAAGATGCCTAAGCTCTAAATTTTTTTTGAGTGAGGCAGCCCGGTTTTTATTAAAACATTGCACTTATTTAATTTATACTTTTAATTTATACTTATTTGTTTTATTTTTTATCAAATTTTTCTGAATTTCAAACACATGTTTTAGCTCTTAAAACTCCTTTTAAATTTATTTTATAAATCAATCAATTATATATATTCTGAAAATAAATTTTCACAGCTATTTTATAAATCAATCAATTATATATATTCTGAAAATAAATTTTCACAGCTATTTTATAAATCAATCAATTATATATATTCTGAAAATAAATTTTCACAGCTATTTACAAACAGTATTGAAATACTAATCTCAAGCAACTACCCTAAAAAAAAATTTTTTTAAGGTATTTATGAGATTGAGTGTTTATAAAGTCCCACCAGACTCTTGTCAAAGCTTCCAAAACATTTTTTCTAAAGGGTCTGTTGTAAATTTACTAAGTACCACGTATTGAAATCCTCAATAAGTACCATGTATCAAAATCCAGAGTTAATAAGGTACTTGACAAGAGCAATTATTTCTGAACATATATGTCAAAGTGCTGCCCCTGTATCACATGTGAACTAATACTGTCTTTGTCTTTGACTACTGGTTATTTTCTATTTTGAGCAATTTTGCTCAAAAAAGTCTTTCATCATTTTCTGAAGATCATATCTATCATCTTTGCCATAACATAAGTCTGAAGATATAAATGCTCTATCATCTTCGCCATAACATAAGTCTGAAGATATAAATGCTCTATCATCTTCGCCATAACATAAGTCTGAATATGGTCCTTTAACATCTTTCAAAACTTTAATATAATTTCAATAAATCGTATGGTACCATATGAATTACCTATGTTAAAACATGTCTTCAGCTAATGTTTCATCACAAAATATGCTGAGGCAAGTCAATACTTTTTGTCTTTTAATGGGTTTTGGTGCTATTGATACATTATTAAGTTTTGAAAATTTAAATAAATTTCCTCATTCAGTTTTATGTAAATTTTTTAAATCAGACCACAAAGCTGATTTTATTTCACCATCATCTTCAAACTTTAGAGTTTGTGTTTTCCCAGTAAGCCAGTTGTTTCACACTGACTTATTAAATGGACAGTTATAAAGTAAAAATATATTACTTTCTGTTATCCATGACTCCCTACATGTAAACTTAGAGTAAAAAGACTGGTTGATACAATTGTTATCACAAATGATTAACTCTCCATCAGATTTCTCTCAATCGAATAATTTGCTTGCTCGAATAAAAAATCAGCATTAAATTTGAATACTGGCAACATACAACATAAATATTTTGGACTGTCGCAAATTGAAGCCAACATAAGACTTAAAAGGGTTGAAGCTAATGAATCAGGTTTGTTTACAGCCTTTCCTAATAAAGACCCAGAGCAATATGTAAGAGAAGGCTTTACATAGACTTTGTCTATTAATAAAATACATTTTCATAACTGTATTTGGCCGTTTTAAAAATCTCACGGATGTATATTCAAAATCATCAAGAGAAGAATTAATTTTTGATGTAAATTTTTGATGAAGTGAAATACTTAGAAGGTAGTAGTCTTGTCTCAGTTTGTTATATAACAATCTAGATAAAGAATAATACTTAAAACCATGAATAATTATTTCAAGATTTTTTTTTTTCAATGATAACAGGACTCATTGCATCAAAATGTTCCTGAACAACTTTTTTGCTTTTTATTAAAGTATTAAGTATCTCCTCAATTTGTGAATATAATTTAAACTATATTTTTTGATAAACTTTGGATCATATATTTTATACCACAAAAAAATCCTTCAAATCATTCTAAATTTTTTTAAAAACTCTAGGTATTGATGTATTTTCTTCATAATCAGTAGACTGTATGCATAATGTATTGTTGGTGAAGTACCAAACAGAGTGGATTAAAAAGTCAAGACTGCCAGTTTCAATCTTATTTTAATTTTTTTTTTAACAATACTTTAAGTTGCTTTAATAATTTTAGCACTTCATTTTTATTGCGCACTTCAGGCAAAGTTTTATTTGTTACACATTAAGAAGGTTTTGTAGGAGCAAGACAATGTTTTACACAAGAAAATAGTGAATGTGGGTCACGAGGTCTCTTTTTACCATGCTTATATAATTGTTATATAATTGGGTGAAAAATGACGCTCACATGAAACACTATTGTTACTATCAGGTATATTATCCCGCGGTATTAAATTCCACTATCATGAACTTCTTTATCATTTGGTAACCGAAACATCTTTTCTTTATTTTCTTTATTATAGTTGCATTTGTAACTCATTAACATTAAAGAAGATAATATAATTGCATTTGTAACTCATTAAAGAAGATAATATAGTTGCATTTGTAACTCATTAAAGAAGATAATATAGTTGCATTTGTAACTCATTAAAGAAGATAATATAGTTGCATTTTAAATCATTAAAGAAGATAATATAGTTGCATTTGTAACTTATTAAAGAACTCATACCAACTAGTTTATAATGTCATCATCATAATTAAAATACTTTTTACAACCTTATTAAAACAATATTTCTTTGGCATTTTATAAAGTTAATAATAACTAAAAGTACAAACTTTCAGAACAATCGATCAAAAGTACAAACATCCAGAACAAATAAGTACAAATATAGATATTAAACTTTAAAAACAAACTATTTTTCTTTCATAACTCATACTTATAATTTACTATAATTTATTACTAAATTAATTACTAATTACTTACTAAAATACTATAACTTATTATTAAATTAATTACTTTTATATCTTTCATAATTTATACTTTTACTATAATTTAATTAATATTTATTCATGTTTAAAATAACACAATAAAAAAATAAACACAAGAATTCAATTTATAACATTTACTTGTTTTAATAACTTCAAAAAATCTATGTAATAGCTGATATTAAACCTATAATAAAATTTTATTAAAAACTTTTACTTGTTTTTTTTTTTAATTTTTTGATCTTAATTGCCTCCTAAATCTATAAAGCATATACTTTTATAAATGAAAGTGGCCAGGAAAACAGGCTCTGTAGGAAGCTGTAGAAACCTGTAGGAACCCTGGTATATAATTATTTTTTTTGTGTTAACTGACAGCCAATTTTTTTTTTGATTGGTCAAAATATCTTTTAGAAAAAAAATCACAATCAAAACTTGGAATTTCTTAAATACCAAAAATTTTGACTTAGCTAAAGATGGCAAATCATTTTTCAAGCTATTTTAAATAGGGGAAGAACAATATTAGTACAACTAATTTTGTCCAAAGTAATATATATATATATATATATATATATATAGTAGTTTCTAATAATATTTAACTTTACCAGCATTAAAGGTCGACCCAAAGCAGTAACTTTTATTGCTGCAAATCCATTAGTAGAAGTTTCTCCGGTTTTATCAATGCATTTAATAAAAACCTCCATGTTCTCATCACATTTTTCTTCACCTTCATAAAAATATGTTCGAGCACTTACTACACGCTGACGTCGGTCAACTAATTGTTGATATCGTTTAAACTTCTTTTCTACGTCAGCTATGTCAAATTGTAGCTCATCTAACAGTGAAAAAACCAGCAATGTTAAATTTTATAAATTCCTCAACATTTTTGAGAGATTTATAAATTTTTTTAAAAATTAAAAAAAAAAAAAAAGAATATTTAGTTAGAAGTGTATTTGAAAAAATCTCTTAGTACAGGTAACTTCAAAACAAGAAAGGTTTTTCTCTTTCAATACAAGAAAAGTTTTTCTCTTTCAATACAAGAAAAGTTTTTCTTTACTTTTTAAACTGAAAAGAAATCAACACATAAATATTCAAAATGTTTTTTTTAAAACAATTTAAAAAAAAAATAATTTAGTTTAACAGACTCAAACCAAACAAATTTACAATGGATCATAAAGTATCACTTGATAATAAAGTATGTGTTGCATGACCCAAACAAATATGTTAACTTGTTAACATGTTCTATTCAATAATATGTTCTATAACCTAATATATTTTTATTACCAGATAACATGTTCAGTAACCCACTAAACATTCTCTATAACCATAAAGCACATTCTTTGTACCAAAATACACTTAATGTTGTGAAAGTGCTTTCCTCAACAAAATTGCTTTCTTTTTTAATAAACACATTTGTTTTCCTTTCCCCTCAACACATGTTTTTTTTGTCCCTTAATAAAATTGCTTTCTAAAGAAATTCACTCCACTTGAAATGATCTTTTAGCTGCCTTGCTAATATCTATATTTCAATATTTCTTTTAAACCATGATTTTTTTTTTTTTTAATGTTACCTTTTAAAAGACTATTGGGCCATTATTATGGTTACTATGGATACTTTTTTTTGATTGTTTTAAATCCTGTCGTCCACTTTTTAGAATTTTTTTTTTTCTTTACCTCTTTTACTCCTTCAAAAAATAGTTATGCATGTGAAATGATCAATTTACATTAAAAAAAAATAAAAACTAATTGTTAGAATTTTACAAATGAGACAATGTTTAATATTTAATTTCTAATTTTTGTCAGCCTTGATCATGTGATCAATAATCATTATTAGTGTCATCACATTTACTATGTTATGATTTACAGAGTCACAGTGATTGAAAGAATTAATGAAAAACAAACCATGTGCACAGAACAAATCATGTCAAATTAAAACTAAAGTTTACACTAAACTCAAGATTTTCTACAATTGGTATGCACAACTATTGGTATACAAAGCAACTGGTATCCACAGCAACAGGTATTCACAGCTATTGGTATACAAAGCAATTGGTATGCACAGCAACTGGTATGCACAGTAACTGGTATGCACAGCAATAGACTACCACTGAAACTTAGAAGCAAACTTAACTTTAAAACACTTTTTACATTATTTTTATTTTTGGGGGTTAATACTTTGCTAATCAGTTAAAGATTTTAATAATTACTATATTATTTCATAAGGAGTCTTCCAATAACCTCTCCCCTCCCCTCCAAACCCTTTTTTTTCTACATAACAGATGTTTTATAAATTAAGTTGGCGATGGTTATTAGATAATAAACAGTACCAAAGAACTTTTACTAAAATTAATTTTACATAATCTACCAAAAAATAAAAAGATTTAAGTGTAAAAATTTATGAATTTAGTTGAATATGCAATTCAGTTAATAACTCATTTTTAAAGATTTGTTGAATAAAACAGGCAGTTTGGAGTTTAAGTTGATTGATTGTTAATTTATTTAAAATGAGATATGTTTATTTAAGATAATGTTATGTTTATTTTGCTATTTTAATTTTTTATTTTGAATAACACAGTGTAACGAAAAAATTCATTTTTTACTTGTAATGTATCTTATTATATTGCTTAGGTCTCAGGTCCCAAAGCTGTAAAATGCTGAAGCTTTCATCCTCAAATTTGCAATTCAAAAAAAAAATAATCTAAATAATCATCAAAGGACAAAATTTGTTTTGCAGAACTCAGAAAACTTTTTTTGTTGAAATCATTAAGAAAAAGCTTGTATGTAACAAGCTTATTACTTCAAAAAAATCAATTACAGCTTTGCATACACCTTTACATACATCTTCACATACACCTTCACATACACCTTTGCATAGCTACTAAAAGATTTTTCAAACCACTTTTTGTTAAAATCAACAACTTTGTTCAGCAATGTAGAACATTATAATAAAATATCTTAACCATAAAAATTAATGAAAACAAGTATAAAAAATATATGAAATTTTAAACATCAAATCAGAATTTATTTCTCTCAATTAGAATAATAATTTTATTTCAATAAAATTTTGCTGAAAGTTAAAAAAATTGTTTTTATTTTACTGTATATGCCTTCCCAAGACCACTATAGTAAAGGATAGATCATTACAGTCAAGAAGGCAACTAATGTTTTTTTAAAATGTTGTTACAGCCATCTCCTGGTCCTTTAACTCAAAATACTTTGATGAACCAATGTGTGGATAAACAAAATGTGTGGATGAATAAGACTGAATGCGGAGAAACAAGTAGAGTGCAGTATTACAAGTATTACTAACACAAAATCACAGAACTTTGACATGGTTTGCATGTTGAATATGTTACTTTTTAAAGTAACATATTCAACATATGGCACAATATGGTATCAACTGGAATATAAGGGTCAAGGGTTTTTAGTTTTTTAAGGAGGAGTGGTAATTCCTCTATAAAAACTTAAAAATTTCTGCACAAACAACTTTTTAATTCACATAATCATAAGATAATCTTTTTAAATTTAAAATTGAAATAAAAATAAATAAATAAATTATCTAAATATTTACTTAAATATTTCAGACTTCTATAAACACATTGTCATTGCAACTTCCATCTGCAGATGTAACACTGTTGTTTAAGAAAGTTGACAAGCTGTCAGCATTAAATACAGACCTGTTTCCCTTACCTTGATTGTATGTAAAATTTTAGAAGATTTTGTAAAAATCTCCTTAGAGAAATCATTGTATAGCAATAATTTAATTTTGTCTAATCAACATGGTTTTGTAAAACCAAAATCATGTAAAATCAAAACCTTCTTGAAATCTTCATGACTTCACTTTCGTAATCTTTTGTTGATCTTATTTATCTTAACTTTGCTAAGGCCCCTCACATTATCACAAGGGTTGACCTCACATTTGTACATTCTCATTTGTACCTCACAGATATTTGACATTGTACCTTACAGACATTTAGTTTAGACACTATACCTCACAGACATTTCATTTTGACACTGTACCTCACAGACATTTAATTTTAAAATTTGAGGTGTATGGTGTTTGTATGAGTGGTGTATGGTGTGTGTATGAGTCATGTATGATGTGTGTAAAAAACATTTAGAGTGGATAAAAAGATTTATAAATATTAGATGTCAAAGTCAAACAAGGAGATGTTGTCTCTACATGGAAAAATGTTTTGAGTAGTGTATCTCAAGGATCTGTGCTTGTATTGTTATATTATTACTATACTATTTTTGATATATATTAATGATTTTCCTGATTCTCTTCAAAAATATAACAAAACGTTTTGCCAATGATACAAAAACTTTATCAACTGTGGAAAATATAAAAAAAGAAGAAAAAGTTCAAGCTGTATTGGATTACGATGAAGCTGTCATTTGGCCAAAAAAAATTGTTATTTTCCTTTAATACTGACAAATATGATGAACTATGGAACAAAAAATGAGAATCAATTTTACCTAATTGACGGGAGAGAACTTAAAAAAACTATTGTAGAGAAAGATTTGGGAATAAAATTTATGAATGATCAAAAGTGGAAACAACGGATTATAACATCTTTATCAAAATCAAATTTAGTTTTGGATCAAATCAAAAAAACCTTGGCACATCGCAAAGAAAGTTACTATGCAAAGTGCAACCACATATTAAATTTGCTGAACAAAGTGCAACCACATATTGAATTTGCTGCTACAATTTGGTCTTCAAATATAAAAGATTATTCATAATCGAAGGAGAATTTGAAACTCATAATTTGGAAGAGAAGTGAAAACTATGAGGGTAAAAAATTCATTTGTTTAAAATACTTAAAAGAATACTTATAAATAGTGGAATTAGACATAACTTCTTAACAAATAAAGTTGCACCATTATAGAATTCTCTGCAAGAAGCCATCAACACAAAATCTAAGTATGCAACACTTCACACTTGCTGGTGTTTTTACCAGCTGCAGCATTAAACTATAACATACTATACTAAATATATGAAAATAGAAAAATCTAAAAGTTGTTTTCAAAGTTGAGCACAATAATTGCAAGAACTGGGTTTGAGTTGAGAACTTCTTGCTCACATAGCAAGCTATCACTACAAAGTCTATTAAAGGACCAACTTTAAGAATTGCTTTTAACATTTTTTTAAAAACTTAATTATATTTAGTTTATAAAATAGCAAAAAAAAAAAATGCAAAAATTTAAATTCCTACCTATTTTTTCTAGTGTCTTTAAAGGTGGTCTAAAAAGGTAAAAATGATTTTATAACAATATATATATATATATATATATATATATATATATATATATATATATATATATACACACACACTGCACTCCCCTTAACGCAATAAATTTTTCCTAGCTACAAGTAATTTTTTATTTTGCTTCCACAGCAGTACTGGAGTAGCAGGACAGGCTTATTAAATCTTTTTTAAATCAAGTTTCAAACCATAATTTTTTCAGACCATCTGCAGCTTATTAGGACTAACTACTTGAGCACATTAATAAGATATATATTTCAATCATAACATATGCGTAACAAATTTCTCCTGGTGTTTTGATGTTTTTAGAAATTTTAAGCTTTTTTAAAAAATTCTCTCCCTTTTGTTTGTTATAGTATATATGGATGGTTAGACGCCAAACCAGCCTACACAACAAAATTAAAAAAAAATAAGTTTTTATTAAAAAATGATTTACACAATATTTCTTTGCAGACCACAATAAACAATAATTAAAATATTCAAATGCACTGGGCAGCAATTACTTTTAGTTAGTTTGGCGTATCGGTTTTTGCTAAAATATTTAAAGTCATACATGCCTATCCGCATACAAAATGGCGTTAAATGAGTTTTCTAACAAATCACTCTCTTCAAATTATGACAGCGATAGCATAAAGGAAAAGGATTATGTTTGCAATTTAGTTCTGAAATTAAAGGTTTGTTGTTTTTTTAATAATTAATTCTTTAAATAAAATTGTTGAATTTTACTAAATCTAGCTGCAATATTTATTTTTTAGATAATGGAAATGTTATTTCCCCTACAATTAGAGCCCTTATTCCAAGTTTTTAGGTGAGCCGATAGGAAATTCATTTCAAAATTATAAACGATCTATGTTAAAGCCCAATAAAAAAATTGTTTCAGAAAGAGGTAACATAATTCCAGAAAAAAAATGTGTTACTGGAGTCTGTGTTAGCAGTTGTAAATTTAATTGCAATACAAAAATATCAACTGAACAACAATAAAAAATATTTGATACATATTATTCTATAGGTTGGTTAAGTGTTTTAATGTAAAAATGCATTTATTTTGGGTAAAGTACAACTATCTCAAAAAGAAAATATACCAAAAATATTATATCTCGAAGGAATAAAACTAGAGTTTACTGCCTTCCTGATGAAAATAGATCCAATAAGATTGTATGCAAAATATTTTTTAAAAATATGATTGACATCAGTGATGGTAATATTACTTTTACCTTAAAAAGAAAAATTGCAGATGCTGACATAATCTGATTAAAATCGCAGATGCTGACTTTATCTGATAAGAGAGGTAGACACAAGCCTTACAATAAAACTAGTTTTGAGACTCAATTATTTATCAATAGCTTCATCAAGAAAATTCCATCATATAAATCTCATTATTCAAGATTACAAACTTCAAAAAATTATTTATCACGAAGTCTTAGTTTGAAAATTCTGTATTAATACAAATTTTAACCTACATTTTCATTTGCCTCAAAAAGATACATGTAAAACATGTGATTCTATAAATATGAAAATTCATCAGCCATCAACTAATGAAATTGAAGTTAAACCTTTGAAGACCAAGTTGGAACTGCATCAGTTATTAGAGCTGAAAAAGTTAAAGAAATGAAAAAAAAAGATATCAATCAGGCTCATTTGAGTCTGATTTGAGCACTCAAAGAGTTATTGTTTTTGACATGCAAAAAGCATTGTCAGTCCCGAGCCTTACTACATCTGTAGTTTATTATAAACGTCAGTTGCAGGTATTTAACTTAGACATTCATGATGAAGTAAAAAATATAGGACACTTGTATATTTTGGATGAAAGTGTTGCATCGCGAGGAGGTCTAGAAATTTCATCTTGCCTCAAAAAATAACAAATATGCTCATATTTGTTATTTTTTGCCGAAATCAATTTTAACTATGTACAATTTTAGCTATGCACAATTTTAACTATGTACAATCAACTTTAACTATGTACAGTGACAGCTATGGAGGGCAAAACAGAAATATTAAAGTTGATCTTGCAATGTTGAATGTGTTGTTTAAAGGTCAGCTGAGATAAATATGAAATTCTTTGTACCTGGTCATAGCTTTTCAACATGTGATACAGATTTTGCAATAATTGAAAGGCAGAAAAAGTATCATCAACAAATATTTGTACCAAAGTCTTGGTTATACATCATAAAAACTGCACAAAAAAATTACCTAAATTTGATGTGCATCCAATGTTGAACAAAAATATTTTTAGCACTGTTAGAATTGAAAAAAAATTACTAACAGAAATAAGTCAATCAAGATAAAAAGGTTGATTGGCTAAATATAAAATAGAATAAACTCCTGAAAAGCAAGCCCAAAAAAATGTTTTATAAAAATAATTATTCTGAAGATTCAATTTTTGAAGAAGTTGATTTTAACAAAAAAATAAGAGGCAGATCACCTAATAATCCTATAAATATTATTTTCAGATAACTATTATTTCCAGATGGAAAAAACAATAATTTTTAAAAAGAAAACAGATTTGATATCATTACTTGAATTCATTTCTCCATGTTTGCACACATTTTATACAAGTTTAAAAACAAGTTCTAATGTTATCGATGATGGTCTTGAAAGTATCGATGTTGACATTAGATTTGTTAATTACTTTATTCGTCAAAACTGCATTTGTGTGTCTGTGTGTATATATACATATATATGTATATATGTATATATATATATATATATATATATATATATATATATATATATATATATATATATATATATATATATATAAATATAAATATATATATATATATATATATATATATATATATTAGGGCTGTTCATGTGAACACAAGAAAAAAAAATTTTTCTCGGATTTGAATGCATAGTTGTTTATTTTGTGCCATTTGACATAGTAATTGACTGTGTAAAAAATCTTTCCAATCAGATAATGTTTAGGGGGTGCTCAATGACCATAAAGTTTTACGAAAAACGTCAAAAACGTGGAAAAAGTTCCAAAGTTTCAAAAATTTCTAGAACCTGGTTAGTTAGATTTTTTCCACTGAAATATTGTCTGATTGCGTGCTATATAGATTAATTAAAGTGCAGCAGATTAACTGTCATCAGGGCACCAGACTAAAAAATGTCTGCTAGTGTTTAAAACAACTGTGTTTATATCATTTTGTTAAAATTTGTATTCATAATTTTAATACTATTATTTAACTCAATTTAGAATTTGTTCAAACAGAATAAAAAGGTTTACAAGTATAAATATTATTTTTATTTGGAATTTCAGTTTGACAACAAATGTATCAATATTTTGATAGTACCTAACCTTAGTAACCTATTACAGAAAACTAGTATGGTAGTCTGGTAGTGTATTGTTTGTTATTAAGTGCAGATAATAATAATTTCCAATTTAAAAATATTTATTTAATTTCTTTAGTAATAATTATTATTATATATTGCTGCAGCTGCATAAACCAACAACTGAATTATAAGTTTGTATAATATGGTATTGAGTTTTGATTTTCTCATAATTTTTCAGTTATCATTGAAATGGCAGCATCATCTCGTGTTGCTATCTCTACACGACTTCAAACCGAAATCTTTTTAATTGGACAACCAGAGCCAAATCTTCCAGATAAAGTTCTTCCCTTAACATCTGATGTTTTAAAAACATTTTTTTATCATCTTAATTCAACCAAAAATTCAGTGCCTGAAAGTCTTAAAACAACTGTTGATGAACTGATTATTATTTGGAATAAAGCCCGTATTCCGACAGCATTTCATCCGAATGTAGTCTTAAAGTTGAAAACTTTAGTCCAGGAATTTAAATTAATAAAAAAAAAAAAATCCAGATTGTCAGATTGTAAGAAATCAAGAGAGAATTCTGCGATTTGGACAAACCACCATTAATCGTCCACTGGGATGGCAAACTGATGATAGATCGTACAAATTCTGCAGACCCTAAAGTAAATGTTGACCGGCTATCTGTAGGTGTGACAGGTCACAATGTTGACAAAATACTTGGAATAGCAAAACTATCAGCTGGAACTGGAGAAGCCCAAGCAAAAGCAGTTGTTCATCTGCTTAATTTCTGGGACATAATTGGTGATGTTATTGGAATGAGTTTTGATACTACAGCCTCTAACACTGGCTCCGAAAATGGTGCATGTGTAGTTCTAGAGAAACATATAGGTAGAAATTTGTTATATTTTGCTTGCAGACACCATGTTCATGAGATCATAGTAGCAGGAGTGTTTGGATCACTATTTGGACCATCATCTGGTCCCAACATACCTCTTTTCCAGAGATTTCAGCAATATTGGCCCAAAGTTAATCAAGGAAATTTTAAACCTCTGGATGACATTCGAATGAAAATACCCCTGGTGCAAGAACTACAAAATGAAGTGATGACATTCCTCAAAGAAAACCTGCATGTTAAAATGCCAAGGGATGACTACAAAGAAATCATGGATCTCTGTCTGTTAATACTTGGAAAACTGCCTGATCAAGAAGAGAAAAATTATCATTTCAAGATCCCTGGTGCTTATCACATGGCTCGCTGGATGGCCAAGGTTATTTATTGTTTTAAGATTTATTTATTTCGTGAAGAGTTCAAGTTGACCACAAAAGAGGAAAAAAATCTCTGTGAATTTTGCTTATTTGCTAGTCTGGTTTATGTAAAATCTTGGATATCATGCCCAAATGCCAGCGATGCTCCAGTTAATGACTTGTTTCTGTTTCAGCAACTTAAGCAGTTTGCAGTTGTGAATAAAACGATTTCCGAAGCAGCAGTCAAGAAATTTCAAAACCATTTGTGGTACCTTTCACCAGAATTGGTCCCACTAGCTTTGTTTTCAAACAAACTTAAAACGGAAGAGAAGCGAAAAATGATTTCCAACATGAGATTTCACGGTGAGAACTGGTCTGAAAGGTTGATCAAATTAAAGAACATTGAAAGTCTAGAGAAGAAATATCTGGACATGCTGGTGACATCAATTTC